GGAAGTGAACGGGAAGTGAGAAATATGTGAAAACTCTCCTCTTCACATACCATTTACAAATCTCATTTTGATACACCTAATGGTCTGGGAGTTATTACTTGTCTAATAGATTCGTTGACACCCGGTATAGGACACAATAACCAATTTAGGGAAAAATCTCTAGAAACAGTGTTGCAATCGAAAATATTTCTAGTCAGGAGTAGAAAATTTTATATTTTTCGAGAAATATTTTTTATATCGAATACCCAGTCTAATGACAATTATTTCAAGTAATATTCTAGAACATAATGAAAATACTCGTGAAAATATAAGTTTAAAAAACACCAAAAATTGTCCTTTATAGTGGAATCATGGAGAATTTTTCAATATTTTGCAGAGTATTATCCTTTATTACAAGATGTCACCATATATTATCATTAGCCGATTGATAGTCATATACCTAATGGTTTTATATTCTGAACGAAAAAAAGACCGCATCCGAATAAGTGGAATTTTCGGGAAAATATTGCATATTCAATTTGGTGCAAAAATGTGCTTGTTGTGGTTCAATTGATCAGCAGTTTAGTACTTCATCCATACTGAAAATTATCATCTTCCACAATTATTTTATCTCTGTACCTACTTTAATAAAATGTGGAATAAAATACCCATGATAATCAAGATTTCTTATTCCTCAATATCTCCTCACAGCAACTGATTTTATCATAATCAATATTTTACCCTTACTGGGAAAATACATCTGAAATGAAAACTAAGGTAGATAAAGTAAATGACACCTGTTGATAATAATTGTGTTAGCAATATAAAGCCTGTTCGTTTGTATTGCTGAACAATGTCTTAGATTAGCTGTCAACTCTCATTTTATTGGAAAAATGTTGGTAAATCATATATACCTACTTGACAAATGTAACACAGGGTAAGGCGCAACTAATACAACGGCAAATTAGCATCGCAAGTTAATTTCTCGAAAGAACTTTGTCCTCAAAATCAAATATTAAAATGGTTTAAAAATAGTCAAACGTGCCTACTTACCCGCTATCAAAACCAGTCGACTAGATCTTCCCACGAAAAATTCCAACATGCGGCCACATAATTCGCACCATTGTAACGAGCACTCCTAATTATCCGGACACAATAACAGATTCATTCCATTCCATCAAAGCGCCATCAAAGTGAATGGAAAACCGGAAGAGTGGGATCGTTTCCATCATCGGGAAAATCTCGCATCTTCACGGAAAAACAAACAGCTAGCGGGGGGAGCGCCAGAAGAAGGAAAACCCTCGCCGGTGAATTATATTTTTCGAAAAATTCTCGTTAGGTCACTCTGTCCATTCGAAGTTAACTGCGAATAACGCAAATTACTAAATTGGCCGGCAAGACGTTCTCTTTAAGTCTGTGACGCGTGGAGGGGCATTTTCGTTAAGAAGTCGTGCCAGTACGCCCGCGTGGACTCTGAATGATACTAATGATAGCGAAGATGATGCAGTTATTGCAGTCCGGCTGGTTTTCCTGATTTTATGGCAACTAGCACCGGCGAAGGTGCGGAATTACCGCAGTGACCTGTGGTCTAGAAAAATCTAGTCTTGTTTCAACACGTTGACTGCCGTCTCGGTCAATGTGACCTAGAAAATAGCTGTCCCTCAAGCCGACGCGGTCCATATGACCGGAAAAATTTTTTGTCTCCCACGCCGGCTCGGTCAATTTGACCGAGTCAGCTTTTTGTGTTTTACGAACCAGACTCTCCGTATCGAATGGTTTCAGCCATAGAGCTGGCTTGAGTGGCTTGTATGAAACGCTGCGCAGTGCCAGTTTCTTGCGTACAAATTCACAGTATGAAAAATATAGCGAATGAAAGGCAACGAACCTATATTTTTTTCATGTTCTGGTTTCCACGAAAAGGGATATCCTGTAATGTTGAGAGAACAACGTGAGAACCAAGGAAAATAGGGTAGGAATTGGTTAAATTTCTGGAGGTTCTATGCCTCGGGGAACACCTCCCTTGGCAATGTGTTCCAAAGCCTCGCTGTTCGTTGAACGAGTCTTTAGAAAGAGATTTTCTGCAGGTCTCCAAAGTGACCACGAAGAGGTGCGAAGCCTCAACTCGACGGGTTAATCTCGCGGGGACTGTCAAGGGAAGAACAATTGTTGATATTTCAGAAGAGCGTTGTCAATGAAAATATCTATAAAATAGAGCCAGATCGCCAACTTTTCTACGGTGTTCCAGAGAAGTGAGTGAGTTTGTGAGCGAGACGAATTGCCCTTTTTTGGACAGAATCCAACAGTTTCAGGGTATGTTTGGGTGCTGCACTCCAAATATGGGAACAGTATTCCAGGACAGGTCGGATCTGTGCTAAATATATCATAAGCAGCTGCCTGGAAGTGAAATTGTTCCTGGCACGAAACAGAAAACCAAGTTTTTGGGATGCACTTTTAGCAATTGATCTCATGTGATTTTCCCAAGGAAGGTTATTGATGATAATGATACCAAGCATCGAAATAGATGTCTTCAAAGGTATGGTTACTCCTGACAAGCTTATGTTGGACACAGTGAGATCGGCTTTTCTAGAGAAAAGGCATGCTTGTGTTTTGTTTGCATTGAAATCTTATTGGATCCCCATTCGAGAATTGTTGCCAAGTCCATATTTATGTTGTCAACATTAGAGCCCTGGAAGAGAAGGCGGTATGGAGGGTACTATCATCCGCGAAGCTGTGTACTGGACATGAAGTTGTTTCCAACAAATCGTTGATATGGAGTAGAAATAGTGTTGGTGCTAGAATTGATCCTTGCGGAACACAAGCATTTATATGATAAGAGAGTCAGATGAAACTCCGTCAACCACTACATGGAGATACCTGTTTGAGAGAAAACTAGCTAACAGAGAACATAGCTGGGGAGGCAAGCTATAAGATGGAAGCTTGGCGAGGAGTCCGTGGTGCCAGACTCGATCAAATGCCTTAGATAGATAGATATAGATAGATAGATATCAAGTACCACAGCTAAGGTTTCGCCATATTTGTCAATAGATTGCGGTCATATATGTGAGACGTAAGCGAGCAGGTCACCAGTTGATCTCTGATGACGGAAGCAAAAAAGCACTAGTCATTATGGTGGAACGTTGAAACGAATACAAAAAATAACAAAAGTTGTGAACGAGAATAAAGGATTTCACTCTGCACCATAGCGATGTTTTTTGTTATAACATTCAAGGCATAGATGAGGCTCTCCTTCACATCCTATACAGTAGGTTCGAATCCTCTTCAAATTCCTAGCAACTTTCCAGCCATGAAAATTTTTAGTCGGTGTGTTTTTGGGATGGGACTCCCGGACACCTTTTTAGGCGATTAGAGGGCACTTACCAATGCACTTCTTATTCATTTCATTCATTTATTTATTCAGAATTATATCATCTTATGGTTCAGAATGGCCATATATTTTTTCTCAGTGTAGTTTTTTACTTTTTTCGTTGAGGAAATGATTTTCTGAATAATTTTTCAAGCTGACGGCAGCAACTTGAACACTTCTGAGCGGTGATATGACATATGACCAATAAGCACAAATGAAAAACAAATGTGAACCATGCCACTTTGACAGCTTTAAAGATCTCCGATAGGTGGCGTACGCTTATTTTCAATCGCGAATTCTACACCGGCTCCACAAACATTGGTATCAAAATTTTTAACAATTTGCCAGGAAGTGTCAGGGATTGTACCACTCACCCTCAAATTCAGGAATAGCCTAAAAGCTCTCCTCACTGAAAATATGTTTTACTCACTTAGTGAGTTCTTTGACTATGTTTCATAAACTGTTTTTAACTTTTTTGATGTTATTTCATCCAAAATTTTTGTAAAAATCATATTATTTTTTACTATTATTGTATTGTAGTTATTCTAGATATAATCCTGATGAATTGTATACAATTATTAATTCTTGTCAATCATAATAAACTTATTCTATTCTAAAGTGCTGACTTTCAAAAAGTAGTGTGGCTTCAGTAAACTGTTATTATTTTAGAGGGGGAAGGAATGTCATATTTATTTCTGTTGTTTTTCAAACATTTATGATCAGTTCATAGAATCTCATTTATATTTAATTTAACAGCTCTATTTCCCATAAGGAATGGACTAAATTAAATATTTGTTAAATGAGATTCTATGAACGCATCTTAGTGAAAGGAATGCTTGAACTCTTAAGATAAGTTAAAATTAAATATAAGTTATATGAACTGACCATAAGTCTTCTCTTATCAATAATAAATTAATATTATCATATTTGATATCAGAAAATGCCTGTTATTTAAATAATTGGCCAGATAAACGAAAAACTACAGAAGTGACAACCTGACAACTGACGAATTTCACCAGCTGATCAACTGCTGCTGATTACATATTATTAGAATGTGTTCTGATTTACAGCACTGCATTTTTGATTTTATAATTTGGAATGCAGATTTTTCAGCAGAATCAGTGGATCTACTGACAGTACTGACCAGTACTGTAATGACAGCTGGACTGACAGCAATAATCTTCATTGGTTCCAGAGTTCCAAATAATGAAAATGTGACAATATGAACACATTTGAACATTTTTTTTATTTGTAAATTTGGAGATGTTTCTATTTGCAAAATTGTTGTATTGATTGATTGATTGGATTAGAAAATACAAGGTGTTCTAATGTTTCAACTTCAGAAGATGATTTCATTTCAAAGACATGATAACAAAATGGAACCATGAGTTGGAACAATAGTTTCAAGCCATATAAATAAGAGCACCCATACCCTAATTTGAATATTATCCATGATCAGGGCTATTCAGTTTCAAAATAATATAATGTAAGTGAATGACAAGGAATATAAAATGATAAACATAATTAATGTAGAACAGGAATGGGTGGTCAATAAAAGTTCTTTCAATATTGGTGTCATATAAGGTGTTGCTCAAAGTAGATTGGTTCAATCCTCAACTTCAATTTGAATGTGAAAAAATGCTGACTACACACTTACCTGTTCCCTTGATTGAATATCTTCAAAATATGTTATATCTTTACCATTGATACTAATGTTACCTGTTCCAGGCATTCTAATGGTTACATCTCCCCTTGCAGTTTTACGTAGACATTCTACAAAATGATAGATGTTGATAGAAATACAGAAGGTATTTCATAAGCACCAAACATAATAAGTTTTCCAATATATCAGTTCAAATTTGAACTGAAAATGATTTGTAGGAGATTCAAAAATATTCAGTAGCTTTGGACTTCTGGTTTGAACAGAAGTATGAACATATATGAAATAATCTGCAACATTTCTGGAACAATTTGTGATAGCTAGCCATTTCAAACTATTTTATTTAAAAAATTACTCAAGGTTTTGATCTCACCATATGTTGTAACATAAGCTCTTCCTTCTGAATCATATTGTGGTTTTGGAGCTTCATAAGTTTGGACCTGATTCATGAGAGGTTTAGTATACTGGAATATGAAATCTTTGACCCTGTAGGAATATGGTAAACAGCTTAAGCGTTCTATAGCAGTAACAAAACAGTCATAGTCTTTGTCTCCTAGAGTTTCTACTAATGTGTTTTCTAAGGACATTTTGTCTAGCCATTGATATCCAGAAAGTTCACTAAAATAAATGTTTTCTTGAAACAGTTTGTGAAATGGTCACTTTCACTTACAGAGTTGAATTAGGATCAGGCTTCAAACCTTTTCTAAGCATAGTGTTTTCATATTTGTACAGATCATTGATGTGTTGAACAATATTCTAAAATAATTTTTCCAGTAAGCATGATTATTATAAATAATATATGGACATTGAGGTGGACAAATAATGGACAAATATGGACTTACATGCAAAACTTGATAGTAGTTTGGTTTTCCTGTATAGAACAGAAAATGATGAGGTCTTCCAGTCTCATCAAATTCTGCAGCTTTTCGTTGAGGGAATACTTCTTCTGGAGGTTTCATGAGGGGCCTAGCTTTTTTATCATATAATCCAGAAGGAAACAAATATTCAATAGCATTCTGGAATGTGTTGAATTTTTCTAGTTTTACTACTCTCAATAGGTACATTTTATTAACTCACATCAATATCTTCTTGTGTGAATGTTTCTGGATCTTCACCCATCATGTTAGCTAAATGTCTTTTACCAATTTGGAATTCTTCTCTCTGTGTCTTCATGAATTCATCATGTTCATGTGCACGTTCTAAATAAGACTTCATGGCTTTGCTTATGTTTTTCCCATATTTATCAACTTGATCAATGGGATCTGGTTTCGAATTATTAGTTGAAAACATACAAGCCTAGAAAAAACATTTCAAAAAAGAGATTTCAAAATGCAAAGTTGATCTGAAGAATTTCAAATTGAATTCTTACCTCTACAGTTGGAAATGCCACAGCCACTCCGGGATAATTCAGTAGAACGGAAGATCTCAAAGGATCCAATAAGCACAAAGTTCTCCGTAGTATCATTTTGAATAATATAATATTGAGTTTGTTCTGTCTCTGAATTTTTATTTCATAACATAACTAGCACCAAGGATGCACCACACAAAATATAGAGGTTACCTTTCTTGATTCTTCTCGTTTTATTATCATTAGTATGATGACCATTTGCATAGCGAGATGCTACCACCTACCAGTGCTACCACAACTGAATTATAACAGTTATATTTAACCGTATCTTGCTACATCAGTTTAACCAACACGTCGAAGAAAAAACTTCCCAAACAATTGAATTGAATTACAAATTTGATATTTTCCTACGTTCATTATCAAAGGAGGGAAATTATTTGGAGAAGTTTAGAAAAATATAATAATTACCTAATCGTCTATCATGGTAAGTATTTGTTTAACTTGAAAGTAAGTAATGAATTACCTATGTTCTTGTCTTAAAGAATATATTTTTTTAATCTTTTGGTTGACTTCTACAAATAGATTTTGATACTTAGGTATATCAACATCAGAGAGATTTATAGTATAATGCATTTTACATCTCCATACATACAATAATTCAGATAATGAAATGGCCCCAATAGATGATATATGGGTATATATACTTCGTTTATCTAGACCTGAGGTGAAGAGACTATATCAGCATCAGTTTGATCTATTGATGGAATTATGTTGTATCCTATCATTCTGTTGAAGAAATTAACAGCACCCAGACAGCAGAGGTCTCTGATGAATATGGATATTTTCGATAGTTTTTAGATAGGTAGTTGATATGTCTATATATATGGCCTGAGGAAATTTTACCATCACATACATTATTTATCTGGGTCTAGTTTTATTATTTGTGGATCTGGTTTCTATATGAAATATCAACTCATGATGCTAATGTAAATTCTATACTACTATTATACCTATTTGTGTGAAAAATAATGATTGGATAAATTTAAAAATAGATTGTCAGAAAGTATAGGTACAATAAGAGCTATCTAACTACACTCATATATAACAACATCAGAGAGGATCCACTATTTAGTTGGGTAATAACAATAGCACAGAAATGTATTGAATCAGTCAAATTTGCCCCAGGTAATATACTTAAATCTCATAAGGGACTTTTAAAATTCCATAATCAGCTTATTATTTGTATGAACAAAGTTCTGTGTAGAGACATCATTTGTTACAAATATACATAAGGAATTAAACAATGTAGACATACATTTGATTAATTTCAAGCTGATGATGGAGTTTTGAAACTCCAAAACATGGCCTCTCCTTTATGGGATTGAAGTATATTATGGTGGATTCATATGTGTCATTCACAATATCCCTACTAATATAACTTAAACCACATAAATGAGTTTATAGGATAACCGGCAATCTACCAAAAACGTAAATAATACTCCTCCAGATGAGAGTCAAGCAGAAAATGTACTTGGGGCAACAAAACGAGTATTGGAAGTTATGGTATTATGATTTTATTTTTTGTACCAATTGAAGTAAAAAAAACTGAAAATGTTCACAGGAAGAATCCAAACACAATGTTACCAGTTTACAAAATATCCTGAAACAAGAAGAACAAACTCTTGATGAACTCTTGAATCACGTAAAAACTCTGAAAAATTCTACTAATTACAATATAGCACATCTTGAATCTAATGATGCTATGAAGAAAACTATGGAGGAATACAATAATCAATTTCTCAACTTTGCTCAAATGATATATCTCAGTGGTCAAGAGTTATATAATGAATTGAATTCAGTTGGTAATAAGTTTGAAACAATTGATGAGAAATTTGCAAAAAATGATGCCAAATATGAGTCAAGAGTTGAATATTATGAAAATGTGCAGAAAGAACTTTTGATTTCTTTAGAGGAATTAGAAAAGCAACATATTGAAAACATACAAAAACGAAATTATCATGACAAGGAAAATCATGAGTTGAAGCATGAACTAAAGGAGATCAATGAAAAAATTAAATTTTATGAGGAGAAGAGTTCTGAATCCAATCAGGATGTTCTATCTGAAGAAATGGTTTCATGTGAAAAAAACATTGAACTGCTGAATAATGATATTGCACACTCAGATAACAAGTTGAAGATGTTGAATCAATCATTGGAAGAAATAAAAAATGAAAAACTGAGAACAGCAGAAGAGGTGAATAAGAATATTGCAGATATTGATCATATGTGAGTCAAGACAAATCTTTCAAATCAAAGAAAATTTTACTATGTTATGGACTCTTTTGTAATTTACAAATATTTAACATCTAATAAAAAATAGTATTTACTGAACATCGCGCCTCCAAATTAAAAAATGTGCTTTTTGATTTGTAGGTGTGAAGAGCTAGAAAAACAATTATCATCGGAAAATTGCAAACTGACAGAAATAAAAAATAAAAACATTGAACTATGTTCAAAAATTTCTGATTTGGAAACGAATTGTTTATTGAAATCAGAAAAATGTGTGGAATGCACAACTAATCTGACAGAATTGCAAACACAATTTTCCAACATGGAAGAAAATCATAGAAAAGAAATGGCAGCTTGTGAGAATGCCATTTTGGAAAAAGAAGAACAGTTGAAAAATGAAAAATTTTTGAATAGTACACTATCTGATGCTATGGTAATATAACCAACATGATAAATTAGCGTTTATTTTTATCCTTATCTATTTTGATTAGCTTCCTTCTAAAGTATAGGTAGCAGGATTTTAAAATTGGCAGAGAATTTGTTCAACAATTTGGATCGCTTATATGCTAATTGCAAATTAAGACACTTTGTGTCCCTGAAGATAGATTTGAACCTATATATCTTCCGTTTTAGACAGATGATATGACCGGCTTTTTGAACTTCCGGTATATCTGATAGGAATGTAGAGTGTACTTATTAATAATCATATTAACCACAGCAAAAAATATATTGTTGAAAAAACAAAAACAACATTTTGAAATTTAATTCAAAGAATATAATTTTTTCAGAACAATATTCGTACTAAAATTGACTCAACTGTAACAGAGCTGGCAGATTTACATGCAAGTATAAAAAAATTAGAGAATAGGCCTGATAATAACCTGAATGGACAGTTGGAAACCAAACAAAATGAATTAGAGCAAGTTAGATCCTCAAAACGGGCCCTAAAGGAACAAATCAAAAATCTCGAAAGTGAGCGAGCAACAAAAATTAATTCAGAACAACGAGAAATCGAGGATCTAGAAGAACACAACAAAACCCTCATGAATGATAAAAACAACTTAGAAGCGGAAATAAAACAGACAAAAGATGAAACTGAAAAAATTGAGTTGCAGAACTTTGAACGCGAGAAAAAAATGATTCAGCTTGCCTCCGAAATTGAAATTTTAGAAGTAGAACTACGATCGAAAGAAAATTCAGCCAAACATAACTTTGTTCAACCAGTGAGAAAAGTTGCATTATTGTCTGGCCACACACCAAACAAGCCAGTAAAGACATATCGAAATTGGGATAGTGATAGCAGTTTTGAAGGTGAAATCAAATCTTTTTCCAAGAGGGGAAGAGTGAAGGCTAAAATGATGAAAAAGGTATAACTGACTACATACACAGGAACCATGAATCTCAAGAAAAATATAACGAGAATTATTCAGGGTGATTCAGTCATTTTCCGAAAAAATTAAATGAGTTGTACATACTAGTTTTTGAACCTAATAAGTAGGGTTCCTTCAAGACATCCAGGGCGAATGTGATTCATTTGTAACCATATCTTTCTCATTGACTAACTTTGGTGTCAGTAATTCTATGCCTTGGAGCCTAAGCTTGTAGCTCTTCAACAAACCCTACTAGTACTAGTAGGGATATAAACTAGTAAGTCCTCAATATTTCACAAAGATCTATCAACCACTTTTGAATTATACCCAACTACCAATTTTCGTTTTTTTTTCTCGCCTTACTCATAATTCAATATTGAATATTATCCATTTATATATATTTCTAGAAGCCCAGAGATATTGGTGTGAATCATTTCAAATACACTTCTCCAAGAAATTAACACACCACTAAAAAGTAGCCTTAAGTTTAGGAAACATTGTCATCAAAACTACTTTGTTTTGAATGACAGGTTATTTCCTTCTGAGCATTAGTGTGCAAACTGTATAAGCATAGGAATTTTTTTTTATGAAATTTGTTATACCCTGTGGAGTGTAACAGTTAAATTATGAAGTTGAAATTATTGAAAGTACACTTTAGCCTTATAGACTGTTGGCCCACGATACAGGGTTTATCGATGTTCTAAGTTGGTATGCCATTTAAGGAACCCACTCACTCACAAGTTAACAGGAAGAAGTGCCTCCGAGAGTCGCAACCCAGACCTCACCTTTCGGTTGGAAAAAAGTTCAAAATTTTGTTTAAGAAGAAGCTTGACCATGAAGTGCATTGATCTTATCTCACGAAAATTGGGGCGCTTGCTGGTTTGCATACGCCTAGGTCACTCCCCAAGGGCGGCATACGAACCGGAAGTGGCAATTTTTCAGTGTTATAGTCGATGATCTAAGAATGTATGCCCTTTGGCGAAACAATGAATTGGGACCCATTAGTCAATTTCCCGACATTTGCATACGATTCCGGAGAGGGGAGCTCGACTTATTCGAACATCATTTGACTGGATCCTTCAAATAATCGATCTGCAATTTGCGTCTTCGAATACCCCCATCACTCCCAGGAAGTTAATCTTTGACCCGGTTTCATGTGAAGTGAGATTATAGACTTCCAGATTATGTAGTTCGCTTTCGGTGCACCAGGGTGCACCTCTGGCCTGCAGTGCGGGGCGCCGCGCCGGACCGATAGGCACGCGCGGGTTTGCCCGATTATTACAACGTATGCTCACATTGAATTCGTATGCAAATAGCATCCAGTTATACAAAATATCCTAGTTTATCGGTCCAGAGATGTGCATACGAACTTAATTCATCGATTATTTGAAAGATGTCTAGTCAATTGATGTTCGAATAAGTCGAGCTCCCCTCTCCGGAATCGTATGCAAATGTCGGGAAACTGATTAATGGGTCCGAATTCATTGTTTCGCCAAAGGGCATACATTCTTAGATCATCGACTATAACACTGAAAAATTGTCACTTCCGGTTCGTATGCCGCCCTTGGGGAGTGACCTAGGCGTATGCAAACCGCCCCAATTTTCGTGAGATAAGATCATTGCACTTCATTGCCGAGCTTCTTCTTGAACAAAATTTTTAACTTTTTTCTAGCCGAAAGGTGAGGTCAGGGCCGGGGTAAGGTATGGGTTGCGACTCTCCGAGGCACTCCTTCCTTTTAACTTGGACTAAGTGAATGGGTCCCTTAAATGGCATACCGACTTAGAACATCGATAAACCCTGTGTCGCTGGCCAACAGTCTATTATCTTTTTTCAACATTCCTGTTTTCGATTCACTCCATTATCCAGAAACACAATTTTACCTGTCATTCAAAACAAAAAAACGTCCAAATCGGACAAGTACGACAAATTTTTGGTGGTGAGTTAATTTCTTTGACTAGTGTTACATCAAGTATTTTTTCTTTCAGGTTGTATCAAAATAGCTATGTCATTATTGAAATCCGAGTTTGAGTATTATTTTTCTGAAAATTGTTTTGTATCATTTTTATAAAATCTAAACATGAATTGAATAGTTATGAAGTCAATATGTTTAATCATGCCAAGGTTCTAACTGTTATTATGATTTGGAGATAATTTTAAGTTGAAAAATAAAAGCAATATTAATTTACAACAGCACTTTTATTAATGCCCAAAGAATTCACAACATCACTGCATCTTTTACATAATTCATCTTCTTTTTCCGAATGAACTCGTCTACATCTTGGACAGGAGAAATTTGCACTCTTACTTATTTCTAATTTGTATTCTTGTAAATCGTCTGCTACAATCGATACTCGAGCTACTTGGAAAATGTCAACAAGTTCCTTCTCTAATTCATCAATCTTCATAGAATTCTATAAATGAATAATTTCCTATTTTATACTGTTTTTCATTCCAAATCACGTTATTGCCAATATGTGACCAGGAAATGATGAATGATATTGAACAAGCAGTTAAAATAAATGTAGGTCACAATAGGCAAAAAACAAATGCATGAAATCAATTTGAATATTCACAATACATAAGACAACATGAATGTATCATTTTTATCACAAGATACGCTGTAATACTTGAAAAAACATTTGAGTACCAAATATTTTCATGGAATATTCAAAAATATCATTGGACAGAAAACATCATAGTATTTTTTCTAGAAATCAGTATCAGAACAAAAAATGTCCCATATGATTAATTCATCATTTGTATGCTAGATACTCACCTCAATATTTTCGAACACTTTCTTTGGAAAGACCAACCTCACTTCAGCATCACTTGTACTGGCCCCCAATTGTTTATTAATAACTTTTTTGCAATCAAGAATAACCCCCATCTTTTTTTCTACGTCTTCATCCTCCCAAAACGATTCTGGGCGTGGATGCGAACTAGTGAAAAATGTCTTTCTCTCCCTCGATGGAAAGTGTTGGTAGATTTCTTCTGCTAAATGGGGCACCATGGGAGCAACAGCTAGAGTGACGATTTCCAACATTTTAAGAAGAACGAATTGGGCAGATCTTCTAGGTGTACTGTCTAGGCTCTCGCAGTACAAACGATCTTTTATCGCCGTATAATAAAGAGCCGATATAGGGTTGCTCAGAAGATTCATCACTAAGGTGGATACCTGATGGAACTTGTAGTTCTTGAGGCTTTCATTCGCCTTAAATTGAGAATCAGTAAAATCATTATGAGAATCATATTATCAACCTTGAAAAAGTCGCATGCTCAAAATATTTGGTGTTAGACCATAGTCGATCTAAATGATGGAAACAGGCGACCTAGTACGCAAGGAGGTTACCATAGCTCCCGCCTACTAACTATATCTAACTAGGTTGTCATTTAGAACAACAATGACTAGACAAAGTCTCATTCTTTCAGTTCAATTTGACATTTTCCTGTTATGAAAAACTGACAACATCAAAATAATAGAGGAGTACACGTTTCTAATGGTACTTTCACCAGATCTTTATGCATTCTCAGATGAAGGTTTTTCAAAAATTTTAAAAGATTCAGGTGAAAAATTTCTGTTTTGCTCCACAGACTTCAAAATGATCTCATTTAAATTCAATGCATTTTGTCAGTTGCATTTCAATTAAAATCAAAATGATATAGCATAATTATTATAGTTCAACTAATATCACCTCGCCTTTAATTTACTTTTCCTGGTTTACTATAAGAAATTATTAAAAAAAAAAACGAATCGTTATAACACAAGACAGGCTATGTATATATCGGCACGAATACCATCTACTACGCAAATCAAATATTCCTTCTTTTATAATGGGAAAAAATTCTTCAATCATTTGCCAGACGAGATCAAAATGCTGACTAATTTCAAGAAATTTGAAGGTTCTGTAAGGAATATTTTGCTGGAGGGAGCTTACTACTTGCTAGATGAATTTTATTTGGAAAAATTTTAACTTTTAATTGTACCTGTCATTTTGATGCCTATATTTTTTTATATACACTTTTTTATCTATTTTTCATGTTCTTTATATTTATGTTATTTGTTTCTTATGTTGTGAATATCTCGAAATTGTTATTTGTATACTACACCTCAATGTTTTACAATAATTCTTATTTTCAAGTATGATGACTTTGTCGATGAGAATTTCATTTCTTCTGACAATAAAGTATATTTGATTGATTGATTGATTGATCAAAATATCATAATTTTCATGAGAAATTATTCAATGAATCCATCACTTAAGAGGAGAAGTGGCGTATGGACGGTCGTATGTGGAAACATTTTCCTTAGACAGGTGAATGGAGAGATCATTTTTTGATATCAATTACGCTTTTCGGTACTTAGAGCCTAAACGTGAAGGTTTTCAAGTGACTGGCGAAAAACCAAAGAAGTTCCAATAAATAAGTATTGACTAAAGGGGTCATTGAATTGTCAACATTTTCAGCTATTAATGGAACTGGGGAAATCACTCTATCTGTAGGTATCTCAGATTGTATGCATTTTTGGAAATACATCCATAAAAACTTTCTTCCTTTTGATAAAAACAGAATTATGGCTCACACTGTATAATCCTATATAACTTTCTTAATTCATGTTTTTGTATAATCCACTTACTCGTTCATGAAATCGATATAGGAGATGCAACATATACTTGTCAATCAACAATAGATTTTTCTTGTTCTCCTCTATCTCTACATAGTCTGATAAACTTCCCAAGGCGAATCTAAGAATACTCCTTATCTTTTGAACTTCTTCGGCACTAGCCTGCAAAACAGTCGGACTCACATTGGCTAGAGCTACCTGATTGGCGTGGCACGTTACCCACCATCTAAGAAAAATAACGAAACAAAATGTTTTTCAGCAGATACTAACATTGTAACAAGAAAATTACGCGAAAAAATAGCTGTTGGAAGGCATAACCTAAAATAAATATCTTGAAATCTCAAAAACTAGCGCAAAAAATGGCATTTACTTTGTACAGGAGAAAAAATCTCACAAGGTGTAGTGGCTCTACACAACCATTATTATGACCCTGGAAATATTTGGACTCTACAGGTGGATGAAAAATGTCATCAGTTTTGACTAAAATCAGAGATCTACAATGGAATTCGAAGTCATCAGAATGAAAAAATAAGTCCTACAACTATTACTCCCATAATGTTTCCCTAAACTTTTTCGCTCTTATGGAAGGAATATACGAAACGGCCTAGCTGGAAAATGAATTTGAAGACAAGCAAATTTTGTAAGGTACCTACATTAAAATTAATTTTTTTAACAGCAGATTAGAATGAACCTATATTTTAGGCCCATTTTCAAACAGTGGATTTTAAGATCCGTTTGAGAGAAACTGCTTCCATCAATTTACAAAACAAGCTATTTAAAAAGAGAATACATTATTATCATGACACAAAATGAAATACAAAACTATCATGGAGAAAGAGGAATTGATTGCAGAACTAGGTATAATGAAATTGAAAACTTGAGAACAAAACTGGGAAATCAAGTAAATTGCGGCGTTCTCCATACCGACCGAACTAGCTATAAGTATAGCTATATGTGTCTATCTGGTAATATTAAAATGTTGGTACAAGCATTCTTTTACATGTTTTTAACTGTTGGAAATTGTATCCCTATAAATTGAAGTGGGTGTTTATAACCCATTTCTTCTTTCCATCTACGGCTATGACTGATTTGACAGAAATTCTAACCTCTAAAATCGAATCTGACAATTAGGCGCTACTAGGGGAATTGAAAGACAAAGAGCACAATATATGCCTTATTCTTTTATTCACTCAAACCATTGTAATTCACGATAAAAAATATAACGTCGCCGCACCTGACGGCAACAACTTGAACACTTCTAAGCGGTTTGTTTTGATGATATGACCAATAAGCACAAAGAAAAAATAAATGTGAACCAATGAAAACAAAGTAAACCGGCCGCTTTGACAGCTTTCAAGAACTCCGATAGGTGGCGTACGCTTATTTTCTATTCGCGATAGAAAATAACACGTCGCACCACCTGACGGCAATAATTCGAACACTTCTGAGCGGTTTGTTTTGATGATATGATCAATAAGCACAAACAGAAATCAAATGTGAACCAATGAAATCAAAGTAAACATATGCCACTTTGACAGCTTTCAAGAACTCCGATAGGTGGCGTACGCTTATTTTCTATTGCGAATAGCAAATATAGAAAATAAAAAAGGACAGAAGTTCAGTTCAGTGACTCATCTAGTTGAATCAAGGTAGACAAAGTTATTCACGTCATAATATTGCCGCTCAAAGAAAGGGAAACATCCACATGATTGTATATCACACGGATAACCATCGTAGTTCTCATAATCAAGATTTCATCCTCACCTCAATACATCTATACCATAAGGCTTCTGTCCTTTTTTCCCGTTGGTTATTTCCAAAGGATCAACGACGTTGCCTGTCGATTTGGACATTTTCACACCGTTTTTATCGACAGCAAATCCGTGCACGTAGATCGTCTTGTAGGGAGCTTTGTCTCTGAGACCGACGGAGGTCAAGAGAGACGATTGAAACCAGCCTGTGAACTGATCTACGCCTTCCAGATACAAGTCGGCAACCTTTGTACCTTCCAATACTTTTCCCCAGGACAAACCACTGTCCATCCATATATCCATTATGTCCTTGAAAAAATCACCAACATAAGCAGAGTTGGGTAAAAGTCCAGGAACTGTCAAATACATCGGGAACTGTTCATCAGATTTTTTTGAACAAAATTCACTGGGTGGCTATATGATATTTTTAATTCAAAATGTCATGGTCATTGCTGCCATATTCTCTATTTTCCTGAAACTTGCACCAACTTCCTGCTTGATCCAAATGGGATTTCCAATATGGATTCAACATTACCTGGCACCGTTGAATTCGTACTGAAAATTTCAAATCTAACATTTTCGACCAATTACAAGGCTGTATTTTGTATAGTTACCATAACAAGTAAACAAATTCCTGCAAATTTTTTCCTTCTCATTAGGGAGAGGAGCATGAAATTACACTGGCAAAGTTTTGACTTTCATAGGTGAAATTTGCACAGATTCACAAGATCTATTAATGAAAACATTCTGTAACTCATTTGTACACTAACATCATCACTCATCCATATGCCAACATCAGTACGACACTGAGAAGTGTCAAACTAGAACAGAATTTTCGAAGAAAAATATTTTCCATTTTTATGTTGAGAACGGGAGCAGATTCGTTCCCGAAACGACTAAAGCTGAGTAAAAATTCGATATTTTTTCAATACATCTATATTTATTTTCTTCAAACTTTTTTCCACACAAAGTGTCACTGACAAGTTATTGGATATTGGAACTTTGGTGTGAATTTTCTTACCAAAAACCACTCTAGCTTCAATAAAAACCGGAAATTTTTTCGAGAGCACGAATATATTGAAAATTTTCCCGAGTGAAGAGCCGTTTCCGAATATGGAAAATATGTTCAATTCAAAATCAAAATGAGAAGGTTGATGTGGGTTTCAGAAAAACGAAGATGTGGCAACAATGGCATTTTCATTTTCTTTTGAAAATAATCTGAATACTGTGAAAAATGTCTTGAATAGTTTTGTCGTGAATAAAACTTCACAACCATAAATGAACTACGAATAACGATGAATTATGAATATATAAATCTAAACAGTCTTATATATATATATATATAAATGTAAACAGACAAAATTCATGAACTCTAAGCAAGATTAGGAGCCGCCCCTCCCAAACGCAGATTAAAAAGGGCTGAGGGGTAAGAATAAATAATAAGAGAATAATCAATTCGAAATATGGATGCATTAACAATAGCTGAGTATTCATAATTCCCGGAGAATACATCAAAAACCTAATTGATAGTGTATGATGGAAAGAATTTGTAATGTAATAGCGAGTTTGTTCTAGTTTGCGCGTTACAAAATTAAATCAATTCGAGAAAAATACATGGAAATATTGGGATTGATCATATTATGAAAAATGGAGAAATAATGTTGATTAGTATTCACCAATCACATATGATTCATTCATAGGAACTCACTTGTCCTTTCTCTATTGTGTCTTGGTTAGAGCACATATTTTCTGGCAAGAGTTCCCTTGGTGAAAGCGTCCACCAGAAATCGGTCCCGTGAGTTTCCAGTAAATTGCATTGATGATTCATCGTGTTTCTGTAAGAATAACCTCTTTTCATACCTGAAGAATAGACAATATACCCATAGTGGTATCAGTTTATCCAAAGTTAATAGGAGCGCCTCCAGCAAAATATGTTCCCAGGTGCACAGACTTCAAGAGGAAAACTTCGAACCCGCCGAAATCGAAACATTACAGTCCAATAGCAAGGATTCGGTTAATTCAGATAATCACTTGAATATGTTTTCACATGAATATGTATACAATGTGAATTATAATAATTGACACTATATATACCAATATAGACTTTAATAACAACAAAAGAACACCGAAAACAAAGAAAAGAGGCAAAGTTGATGATATCAACAAGTGCTACTCGTTTCTTGAAAATGATATTTTTGCATTTGAGTGGAGTAAGATTGTCGATGAAGTCAATCAACGAGTGGCCATTCGGGAGATGATCACAGTTTGGTATTGGAGACTATTATAAATAGGACAATCAAACGAAATGTACTGGAACATTTCTGCAATCTACAGAATTCAAATATGAATTTTCCTTTATAGGAGAGTTTGATGAAATATTCAGTACATACTATTAACTGCGATATTGTGTGATTGATCTGAATAGGCAAATGAAAATGTAGATAGTTAGCATCCGCTTTTGTGATAGGATCCCTGCAGGAGAGCGCGATCTTGTCCGTGAAGTTTGCAATGAAATTTGAATATTAAATAATTTTATTTCTGACAGTGACATTATAAGCTTATATCGTCATAGTTAAGATATCTATAATGAGGGTCATAACTCCCTTGGGATGTTATAGATGCTATAATTCCCTCTAGCTAAAATTAAATAAGAAATGCATAGCAACAAACACGCAATAACGTAGCAATAAGGAATCTCCTATTCGCGGTAGTCAAGATCATCATCTGACGTTCTGATGACATTGAAACTATACGGAAAAACATGTCTAACTTCCAATCGGGAAGGTATCTAATGAATGAAATCAGTCAGAAATAAAATTATCTATGTATCACGGGAATTATAGAGCCTTAATAACCTCTGGCAATTGCTGTCCCTCGGGCCAGAGGCCCTCGGGACGCAAACTTTGCCATCGGTAATTAAGGCCCTCATAATTCCCTTAATACATAAATAACTATTTTTCTGTGACGGGAAAAAAGTTTGGCATTTCATCTCTGTTGGCAGGTTATAAAATGTCACTTTTCATAAATTACTTTTTTCCCGTGGGAAAAAAGTGAGTACTTCTTTCCCGGATATATATCACAAATATATACTCTGTTAATGGCTTTTGTTGTGCTATAGTTCCGAAAAATAAGTCAATAATACCGTCTCCGAGAAAGAACTGCAAGTCCTTTTATCTTTCATTCGACTTCGCAGTTTCGTATATTACTAAACAACTACTGAATTCGCAATTTTTTAAAATCAAATCACAGAATTGAACTGACAGAAGTGACATCAGATATTTGATTACTTCAAAAGAATGATAAAGATGTCTATAAAACGCAGGTGTCCCTACTGTTAAAAACTTGAAATTTCACGTCGATAATTTTCAGAGTTTGAAATAATGTAATATCTTCCCAATATTGATTCGTCCTTCCTTCTGTCACAGAAAAAAATTGTGTATTATACACGGGAAAAATATTAGATTTTAGCTCACGGTTTTTTGACAACACAACCTGGAGCTAAAATCTACTACTTTTTTCCCTTGTATAATAAATAACTATTATGCACTTCAGGGATTTGAAGGGTACTTGGAAATCTCCATTTTCGGAAAAAAGTGGTACTTGAAATCCCTAGGGTTTCAAAGTACTTTTAAAACTCCTAGGGATTTGAGGTACCACTTTTTTTTCCGAAATCTGTATCACCATAGTTACTGATGAGGTCGTTGATATAGTAACAATCAGAAAAAGAGTACCAACCGTTTAGTGGCATTTTTTGTCATTTTTTACGTTTTACCTATCCAAAGTGCATAAAATAGTAAAATACACCTCAGAACTGAAAAGTTTTTGAATTCCTCGACAAATTATAGCCCTCCCGTTGGTCGGGCTATAAACTTTTTATCTCAGGATTTAAAATACCACTTCAGTCCTTGTATAAAAGGGTATAATGTACTATTCATGGATTCTCAAAGAATGAGGTTTCATTTCAATCAAGAACGCTGAGGCGTCGATAAAATCAAAATGTTCCTTAACTTGAAGTGCCCAGTTCTTTTTTGAGTTCATATTCCTAAGTGAAATTTGCCTCAGAAAACACAATTTTGGTATGCGATGAAAGTTCGTTTTACGTATTTTGATGATCCGTTTCAGGGTGAATTTGAAGATATTATATAAAAACTTGAATATTCCAGTTTCAAGCCTGACAATATAATCTGGTGTGCTAAGTGGAAGTAGCAAGAGCCTTTTGAAGAAGTTTATATTGGTACTCTACAAACAGGAATACAAGTCCTCATCACACTAAAAATTATTGCATCATAAAGTTTCATTCTGCCTTGCCATTAATTGATTTTGGTCTTGGCCATGATGGGCAGTAGGACTAATGTCCATGGCCATTAAGGTAGGGGAAAAAAAAAAATGATGGGCAGTAATAAACCAATAGCTTAATTGATTTGCTTCATTGGCTGATGAAATTACCATCTCACGATATATTGTTAGTCCTACAAGCATCTTTAGACAAACATATAATTTTTGTTTCAATAATATTAATTTTCAATTTATGAGATCGCCGGAGAAGCTCCAATTTAATTTGGATAGACTATATATACTTACTCATTAATGATGGTTTCTGATGAACTTTTGTTGTATAAAACAGGTATTGGTACTCCCCATTTTCTTTGACGAGATATACACCAATATGGACGTTTCATAATTTGATTTATCAGATTTCTTTTATAAATTTCACATCTCTCATTTGGAATTATATTTACATTCTCTAATAATTCCTAAAAATATTCAGAGTGAAATTTGTGGGCTTTGCAAATGGTTGATCCTAGGGCACACCAGTGTCTTATTTATCTCATATTATAATACTTACTACTGCTCTATTTTTAATGGCGTTAGTATCAACAAACCACTGTTGACTAGCCCTAATTATCACAGGTTTCTTGGTTCTCCAGTCATAGGGATAACTGTGAGTTATTTCACCTACATGCATCAGATTATCTTTAACAATGTCCAAAACAGTTTTGTTGCCATCAGACAACACGAATTTTCCTTCTAATTCAGGCCCAGCCTCTGATTTGAAACATCCTATCTCATTTACCAAGTCTACCTAGAGTATATTACTGGATTAATAGTGAAATTCATTAGAATCACAACATCTATATCCTTGTCAATACCTATTCTGCATTATTCAATTAGATATCCATAAAAAAACATGAATAATCAAAGAAGTGTGTTAGATCCATTGTTCATTATTATTTATATGTGTGCATTACTATCATCATAGATTAACGACTCCCCTAGATATACACCGTGAATGGGGATTTGGTCAACACTGAAATTAGTGAAACAGAACATACACAGATGTCTCCAGTATCCTTGGTGCGAATAATTCATCCGAGGTCCAGACAGTCTGTGGTCTATTTATAGCGCCGTGCACGCTCGAAACCGGTTATACGTTACAGCGTTGCCAGAATGTGGCATTCACTCCTATTACCATTCTTGGATAAAAAATCAGATCAGAATAAAAATAATTATTCTGCATCTTCTCTATAAAAATGAATGTTTGTCTGTCTGTCTGTATGTCCTCGATAAAATCGTAAACGGCTCTACTGATTTGGATAATTTTTGTTTGTTTATTTCCTTATAGTTCAGGGATGGTTCAGGTAGAAAAAAAAATTGAAGAAAATCAAATATGGCGGAACCAATATGGCAGACGAGTTTTGTAATCATGGACTGATTCTATTCAAAATTGGTTGCTGGGGGTTTTCGGGGTCGGAGATTATGATTCTTTCGCCAAAATTGGGAAATTCAAAATGGCGGATTCAATATATGGCGGTCGAGTTTTGTAATTATGGAACGATTCTATTAAAAATTGGTATCTGGGGGTTTTTGGGAGTCGTTAATCTATGCTATCATATTTTAGAAATATCCTGAAGCTACCTCCCAGTCAGTTACTAGCATTTGCCATACATTATCTTGTTGAATCTCTGGTAAACTAAAATTCCGGAAATGTTTAATTTTTTCAAATTCGCACCTTGAAAAAATGCTGGAAATAACTCTGTGAAAGAAAAATTGCCAAAAATCGAGGACACCCTAAATTTTCATTATTTTTTGCTGCAATCTCTTTATCTTTTATGGCATTAGTTAAACCATTATACTTCTGATAGTTTTCTCACTGTAGCTCAGTTGATAGAATCAAATTCAATAATGCAGACCATTTTTTTTCTACAACTCACAATTGGCAATTTATTATCCAATGCAATGAGGAAATCATCAGGGCCATGTGCCCCAGCTATATGAACCAAACCAGTACCTTTACTGGCAGTAGCATAAGATGCATTGACAAGTCTATGTAGCCTACTCCTGTATACAGGATGGACATAAGTGGCTCCCTCTAGAGCATCACCAGGTATTACTTCAACAACTTCAAATTTGGTGTTCAAAGTACTTGACAAACTGTCAACTAATTCAGATGCAACAAGGTAAATATTGGAATCTTTGGCATCTGATATTCTCAAAAGACTGTATGATAATTCTTTGTTGTAACATACAGCATGGTTAGAAGGTAATGTCCAAGGAGTTGTAGTCCAGATTATGGCATATGTAGTACTGAAGCAGTATAAAAAAATTATTTCACACTATTCAATAGATATACTATAACCTCACCACAACTTATCCTTCAATAATTCTAGTTTTGGTAATGATTTCATTTCCAGTCTCACATATGCACTAGGACTCTTATGTTTCTCATTGTATTCCAATTCAGCTTCAGCAAGGGCTGTTCTAAAATACAAAGGAAGAATGAACACACTGGTTGAAAATTTCTCTATATGTGGTATGTTTATAATGAGGTTGATCACTATGAGAAAAAATCTTGGAAAAAATCATAATTTCCACAAATAGTCAAGTGGAATACTGACCTTGAAGATGGAGACCAATAAATGGGTTTAACATCTCTGAATATCAGATTCTTTTTATACAGCTTGAAGAATAGATGCAGCTGGGATTTCACATAGTCTGCTGTGTAAGTTCTATAGGAGTTGTCCCAGTCTCCTATGACTCCCCATGACTTGAATACTTTTTTCTGATCTTCCACAGTCTTCATGGCAAAGTTTCTTGCTAGAATATTGAATATGTGGCATTCTAATCCTTTTCACTACTACCTATATACCCTTAGTTCGAATTTCTATGGTGTCCAGCTTATTAGAATCAGTTATAGCTTTCAATTCAATGGGCAAACCATGACAATCCCAACCTGGCACATAATGTACTTTAGTTCCTTGCAGGATATGGTAACGTAATATTGTATCTTTCAGAATCTGTAATATTATGCTAGATATATAGCCGCACATTTGAATGATTCAATTCACCTTATTGATAGCGTGTCCCATATGTAGCTGTCCATTTGCGTAAGGGGGGCCATCATGTAACACAAATTCAGGTTCATATAAATGACTTCTCTGCCAGAGATATAGATTTTCGAACTCGGCTACCTATAAGTAAGCAGTATGGAAGTAATAACCACATAGCAGGTATTTTTTCACTTACATTATGAATAGTTTCATCTCGGTCTACTAATTTTTTATTTTCTAACCTCAAAGGAAATTTGGTTTTTGGTAGAAATATTGTGTTGCTGTACAGTTTATTTTTTGTTGCAGCTTTTGTACAATAATGAACGCAGCTTATTTTATGAAATGAAATTAGACTATTGAAAAACATTACAGATATCATTAAAAATTACCATACAAAAATAAAAAATAATTTCCCTGAACCCCTGCACTGCTCTAAAGAAAGTGTATTCAACTGTATTCTGTGTTGCATAACTACGAAGGACGATATCATAAGAGATCGCCACCACATACAAGGTGATTCAATGTGTGATTCAATCCTGTCAACTTTCCCACTCCTTAGAAAATAATAGTTTTTTCTGTGACGGGAGAAAAGTTTGGCATTTCATCTCTGTTGGCAGGTTATAAAATGTCACTTTTCATAAATTACTTTTTTCCCGTGGGAAAAAAGTGAGTACTTTTTTCCCGGATATATATCACATATATACTCTGTTAATGGCTTTTGTTGTGCTATAGTTCCGAAAAATGAGTCAATAATACCGTCTCCGAGAAAGAACTGCAAGTCCTTTAATCTTCCATTCGACTTCGCGGTTTCGTATATTACTAAACAACTACTGAATTCACAATTTTTCAAAATCAAATCACAGAATTGAACTGACAGAAAGTGACATCAGATATTTGATTACTTCAAAAGAATGATAAAGATGTCTATAAAACGCAGGTGTCCCTACTGTTAAAAACTTGAAATTTCACGTCGATAATTTTCAGATTTCGAAATAATGTAATATCTTCTCAATATTGATTCGTCCTTCCTTCTGTCACAGAAAAAAATAGTGTATTATACACGGGAAAATATTAGATTTTAGCTCACGGTTTTTTGTCTCCCTCCGCTACGCGTCGGGAGACAACACAACCTGGAGCTAAAATCTACTACTTTTTTCCCTTGTATAATAAATAACTATTTCATCTATCGATTGAAAAGATATTTTCATTTTATTAATTAAGCTTTAATAATACAGGGTTAATTTAGGAAGTACAGAAGGTTAATTTGCATACTGCATTTTTATATAAAGTGGATTATTTTGATGTTTTATCAGATATTTAATTTTTTTCAATCAACGCCTCATCTCTGAGCAGCTATTCTGTATCCATTATATTCCGGTAAAAATAAAGCGGTGGCCTGGTGAGTGGTGACATCATGAGATCACTGGGTAATCAAATATATTAAATATGTAGACACTAATTAACAATGTATCCAATACAATAATACATACAAATCAAATATTCAACTTTACACATTATAATCACATTTTATAGTTACATAAAGAAGCTTATAATTCTTAATCAAAACGTATATTCCTTATAGTTCTAGTAGTATGCTTCCTGGATACATTTCTCATAGCTTGTTCCACTTCATCCAAAAAACTAGTAGAATTATGAATAGTAGTACCCCCAAGAAGGATATTGAAGCTTGGATAACTTTTGTTGAAAGTATGAACAGTCAATGATTCCTCATAGGTGGCCCCCCCTATGATGAAAATAATGATATCTTGTGGCCTTCCACTGTTTGTATGATTCCCAACCAGAGGATAAAGTTGATCTTTTAGTCTACCTTTCACAATATCTTCCAGAATATCATGAAGCAATGGTTTATGTTGTGTGTAGACATTATCAACACCACTCAAACCTTTGATGAAGCGCTTTGTTATTTTCACAGCACTTTCTACATTCAGCAAATCACTCTGTCTAGCATGAGATCCAGCATATTCTAGAATGTTGACAATATTCCTAAGTAACCTTTCAGGGATGTTCCTCTTTTTTAATGTGTCAATAAGCCCATTTATATCATTATTACTGTTATTTTGATATCTAAGAGCATACAACATGACTAGTTTGGCAGCATCAGTATCTCTAACTTCTTGGTTAGCTAAAAGTTTCTTTATACTTTGGAGGTGTGAAGAATGATCAATCTGTGAGGAAATTTCTTGTTCAACTTCTGAAACATCTAACAAGTGATATTTATTCACCATTGAACTCAATTCTCCCACAACTGTAACATGTTTAGTAACATTTCCTGATAATTTTTTGAACTGTGGGTATGCTTCCACAAAGTTTTTCATATCAGCTATGCTTTCAATTTTCTGATGACTTTTAGCTTTTGCTTGAAACTGATCCATGAGTTGTTTAATGTTAGTACCAATTTCACCATAATTCATAAAAATATTTTTAGCATAAAAAGTATCTTGCTCCACAGATAGAACTACTTCTGACAGTTCTTTTGCCACACCTGGTATATTGGATAAGTTAACTCTGTTATTGTTGATTGAAAGCAATTCATGAACCATTGCTTGATAAGTCCATTGGTTAAGTAAGGGGGTCATAGGATCATCTCTACGGTCTAAGATGAGCAGCAAAGACTGACTATTTTGACCAAAAGCAAATAAAGAGGACTCTTTACCCATTACTTCATCAACTCTCGATCCCAGATCTCTGCACAAGGCAGAGTTAGCTTGGAAACGGATGGTGGGTGACTTCTTGAGTGACAAGAGAAGTGATATTAAACCTTGCACAGTTCTCTGCAGAGCAGCAGGATTCCAGCTCAGGGAGAGCATACAAGTAGGTAAACCAATAGAGAATAAGTGGGGATTAACTGCTAAATAATCCATGTACAGTTCTTGTACTTCTTTCACCACTTCTTGTTCATCATGTTCTGCCAAAATTTTAATGTCAGCTTTGGCGATGATGTTGCTGAAATAAATGTAGTAGGCTCCATATTTAGGATTCCTAAGTTCATTGCATAGAGCAGTTATATTTTTTTGAGTGGGCCTCAAAAATACTAGACATTTAAGATAACGAAGGCCAGTAGAGTTGGAATAATTAGGAGAATCGATTCTTTCTAAAAGGAAAACTTCTTTCTGCTGTATTTCTGATTGGCCATATACCATACTGATAATTCCAGTAGTATCTTTGTCCATTAATAATACCTTCATTCCAGGTTCACTTTCCTCGGTCATTTTTAGGACATATGCTTTAACAGCTGCAATAACATTCATTTTTGATGTATCCAATTGATTTTGAAGATTTGGAATCAATACTAATCTCCAAAATACTTGTTTCTAGGTAAAAGAGGATGTTGTTCTTATCTTTTTTGGAGGTTTATTTATTTACATTTTTTATTTTTTGACACAGAACGTGAAGGTCGTGAGCACACGTTGGAACGTGAGATACTTTGACAGCACAACCTAACCACCCATGATTTATTTTGTCTCCTTTACTTCTCCTAGTCTTGGCAACACTGTCAAAATTTTGAGTGTTCTGTCAGCAACCTCAACTTGTCATTTCGGACTTTGACTAATTTGACTGCTTTGAGTTTGAGGTTGAGTGTTTGACTTTACGTGTGGTCGTGTTCAATGTTCAAAGGGATATAAAAGAATAAACTAATCGAATTAAAATTCAATCAAAATAAGTACAGACTGTGATGTTCGAGAAGTTCGTTTAATGATATCTATGTTTCCAATTTTTTGTGCTATAGTGGATAAGTGGCCTTGCATTTGACACATTTGCACACACCCAACCCAAAAATATAATTAATTTATTATTTGGGATTGATACAAGACTCGTTATCAATAGGATAACAAAATGCAAGCTATAAAGTGTGTAGTAGTAGGTGACGGGTACGTATTCCAAAAAAATAACGTTTTCAGAACTGACAAACCCACATATTATCACCACCACTTGGAGCTGTCCTGTGTTTTTATATTTCTTGTGCAACACTTGTGCACATACGTCCTATCCTATGGTATTATTGGTATCATGTGTCTAACAAAGATAGACAAACTATGAATTGTCTGTGATCTGGAAATGATGGATATAATTAATCAACCTCTGCTTCCACAAGATTTTGATAGTTGCTACTACTTGTAGCATGTAGTACTAGAAGCATATCTTGTTAGCCACAAGAAAGTATCACAATCACAATGACGAACATTAAACATCAGCTATCATAATAGAAGCATCTAATATCATTTGGATAATTCATTTTGATGGTAAAATACTTAGAAATAAAGGCTGATACCATAGATCTAATCTGATACTAATGGACATAGGCATCAGTGAACTTGTTGTAGTCATCCAAAAGACAGAAATGCTCTTTTATTTTTCATCATAGGTATATTACATATATTCACCAAATTCAAAGCTACACCTAGAGTAGAGATAAGTGGGCAACTTATCTCTGCCTGGAGATATACCTGAAATTGATGTACATAATAAAAGGGATAATCATGAGTATCCCAGTCAACCTGACCACAAGTATTGAAGTATTTGTTGTAGGTGTAATTCCAGATTTGTTGCCCATTTATACTGTGCCCATATTATGTTCCAAGTCCTACCAACCTTTCGCCAAACTGTAAAATGTTATTAAATCTTCACTTTGAGGACATACAAATATTGGTATTGTGAACTGAGATAAAATCTTCATTTTCACATTTCCTGCCATAAGTATATTGTTGTGGGGGGGGGGGCACAAATACCCAGAGATATGAAACTTAATCACTGTTTATATGTATTTTTATTAATCTATTATTAAACCATACATTACACATATTTCATCAAATTATTTTGTACAGTGCTGTAGGTAAAACTTGTCTGTTGATAAGTTATACCACAAATGCCTTCCCAGGGGAATACATACCCACAGTATTTGACAATTATTCTGCCAATGTGATGGTAGATGGGAAACCAATCAACCTGGGACTTTGGGATACTGCAGGGCAAGAAGATTATGATAGATTACGACCACTCTCCTATCCACAAACAGATGTGTTCCTCATTTGTTTCTCACTGGTGAATCCAGCATCCTTTGAGAATGTCAGAGCCAAGGTGTGTATGAAAATTTACTAAAATATTCTGTCTAGAAAATTGGGACATTATTTCTGTCAAAAAATGTTTTAGAATTCTTAAACTTCAAGGTTGAACTTGATATTCAAATGAAAGAACTGCTAAAACTACCCTTTCATAAAAATATAGACCTTCAACCACCCAACATAATGATCATTATCAAATAATTTTACTAATATTTAGCTAGTACACTGGATAAGAAATGGAAATCCCCATGGCCAAGGGAAATCCCCTATCATGGTGGATGTTATTGGAAGTATGAGTTATTTCCAGATTTCCAGTGAATTGACTAGACAATTTATCTTGCTAATTTGCTAATTGATATTTTCACATCATATCGGTTGAGGGTTGATTTTGACTATGTTTCAAGTTTCATGTGAGGTTTCTCATAATACTAGATTTTTTATTTATTTGTGTTTGGAGAATTAATGATGATCAATTTATATCTTGATTCAGTAAAAATAATAACTATGAAAGTTTCATGTTATGAGCTTTATCATTGTAGTCATTTGTAGTCCAATATTCGGAATTCAGCCAAAAGTCAGCATTGGTACATCTCTTCCAAAGAATGCTAAATCAAGATATTTTTTAACTTTCCTATAGTGGAAATAAATTTGCTGTACTCTTATCAGCTGGATAATTTTTCAAATGGCGTTAGTCTTCCAGTGTTTACTATAATTCAGTGGTTCAACCCAGGGTAATTTCAATTCACGCTTCTTGAAGTTGTTCTTTGGCAACATTGTAAAATTCGTAGCCTTCGTACTTCGTAGCCTCTCGTAAGTTTCGTAGCCGAACTATACTCAGTGTTGCCAATTGGTGGGAAATTTACCGCATTTCGGGAAATTCGAACTTGCGGGATTTTTTGGTGGGAGAAACCATTTTCTGGCAGATATGTGGGAAATCGTGTATGTCCATGAGAATCCCTGAGAATCCAAGATGAAATATTTGCGAATGCGCAAAACTGTATTGTTATTGTTGAATCGTCTCACCCAGTGGGAACTTATCTCTTGCATTGAGTGATAAACCGCCATCTCATCAAAGATCTAAATAGTAAATTCTGTCTTCTCATTCCTCATTTCGATAGATTATTCAATAAATTTGAATGTGGCGGAAGATGGCGGGTAATTTTTTCAAGAAATGTGGGATTTTGACAGTTTCCATGATTCCATGTTGGCAACACTGGACTGTACACATCGCGTCATCGCATCGCTTGAATTCTTGTAGCTTTCAGAAAAATCTATCCTTTCCTTTTCTGTGTTGTCTGTGGAATGGTGTAGAAGTGTTTCTGTTGTTTAAATCTCCGAATATTCAATCCTCTACTGATACATCATGTTGGCTATTTATCCAAATTCGATTTCTCGAAGTGCAAAAAATAGAATAGTGTTACTATTTTTGAAAAGTTATGGAAATATAGGACATTAATAATTATGTAAGTAATGACTGAAATTCCTAAAATACTTCCTACGGTGATGTCATGATTTTCATGTAGCATTTTCTCGTTGTACATTGGTTTGTGGTTTATAGTTAAATCTTTATACCAAGTTTATAATAGTGAAATACTGCTCACAATTGTCACAATGCTCACATCATTTAGATATAGATACAAGGACGAACAGGAGTTTGATTGAAATATTGAAATTTTTATTAGGGAAAGAAGGAAAGCTTCATCTCCACTTTTCAATACAGTGATGTTAATGAATTAGGAACATGTTTTGAGCTTAACTAAAGGTCATCTTCAGTCTAATAAGAAGTTCTATAAAACAAAAAACAAAGGGATATAATAATATAATATGAGAGTGGTCAAAATGAAGGGAATGGAGGTGAAAAATTATTGACTTGAAGTCAATGATCCACTCCATAACATTCTTAAGAGTTATTTTTGTATTTGAGTTTTCAAATGCATTCTCCAAAGGTTCACTTGATGAAATAAATTGTAATTTTTTGTATGAAGAGTGTGTATAATCTTTGGTGTGAAGAACTCAATTTGCTAACAAGCTGGTGTGGTCTCACATTAATAAATGATTGCATAAATAACTATTCATCTTCAAATATGCTGGGTAAAGGGGTCCTACTATTTTGTAGTTGAATAAATGTATTTTATGATGATATTTAAATATTTTTGTCTTCTTTTCCCGTCTGAGATTGATGAGGGATACACAATTTTCTGATGTTTCAATCCATATTGGATCACATGCTCTTCAATATCCAATGTATTCACAATTTACCTCTCATTACAGTGGTATCCAGAAGTGAGACATCATTGTCCAAACACTCCTATTATATTAGTGGGTACCAAATTGGACTTGAGGGATGATAGAACCACCATTGAGAAACTGAAGGACAAGAAACTATCTCCTATTACATATCCACAGGTAACAATGATATTGTTGGTCTGATTTTATGATAATCCACTAACACCTTTTTTGTTTGTCTCAGGGTTTGGCCATGGCAAAAGAAATAAGTGCTGTAAAATACCTGGAATGTTCTGCACTAACGCAAAAGGGACTGAAAACAGTGTTTGATGAGGCCATAAGAGCTGTTCTTTGTCCTGTAATGCAAGTAAAACCAAAACGTAAATGTGTCATCTTGTAATTTAGATAATAAAGGAAATGTATTATTGTTACTTCAATTTTGAACCAATTGTCTTCGATTTCGAATAATAGAAAATAGTTTCTTCATTTTGTACTTAGCTTTAATAACAAAATGGCGGTTGGTTTGAAATTTTGGTCAAAGGTTTGATTCAATACAAAATACAATAGCTTTTCTAGATTTTCTTTAGCTTGCAATCAAACAAGTGTCTGCTAGTTCAAAATTTTTTTATCCAAACATGACATCTAAAAAGTGTGTTGAATCACCTTGAAAGCACAAAATAACCTTTGAAAAAAATGTGCATAAATGTGATTTATTGTGTTTGATTAATTTGATTAATTTTTTTGATGAGTATATTATGGTTAGATAAAATTGTTGTTTAAATTCTTTCTGCATTTATATAATATGATTATAGGTGGATACAATAACGGCAATATGAATAATTGTTACTTGCCAGGCCAATCTATAGGTTATAAAATGTGTTCATTGAAATTGAGCCAATAATGATGGGCTGAAAGCATCAAATAGGTCTATTGATATTGGAACTGACAACTCAAATCTTCTGTTCTTTTTTATTGTTACTTTTTATGATTTTTTTCTAATAAGTTGTCAGAAATCATTTGGGCATACAGAGAACCATAGCATTATTTCCATCTTGATTGAAATTATACAGACAGAGAAGTACCTATTTTTTTATAGTGTGAAGTTCATGTTATGTCTAAAATTATTGATATATTAAATATTATCTTGATTATATTGGTTTTTCTCTCATTAATAGATGTATTATTTCTATTGATTTGTTAACATTAAAATTGAGCACCAAGCATCTATTTAAAATTATCAACTAGATTACTAGATGCTGCTCTGAAGACAAAAGTTTGATTCAAACTCTGTTAAGAAATCGATCAGAGAATAAAACTAATTTCTCCTTCCCGCTTTTCATGGACCAAAATTTTGAAAAACAGAAAAATACAGGGTGTTTTACAGGTAAAGGGAAATATTTCAGTGGTGCATAGGGGTCACCAAGGTTGTTCTGAAAATACCATATTTGATAGGGAGTCTTCATAACGGAGATACAGGGCGATTTATAGATTTCGAATAATTATTCATTGGTCTATAAGTATTGAACTACCCGGTATATTTTCCTCAAGTTTGGTTTGGATCTTAAACTTGGGAGGTTGAATTTATTCACTTATCGGGCGGAGCGAACATCCAGGTTCGGCTTCAGGAAAAATTTACATTTATTCGAAATATTAAAATAACACACTGTATGTAATAACTAACAGAGTTCATCGAAGGAATCGTGAAGAGGAAGAAAAACTGAATTGGATTTGATGCTTTTTGTTTTCCCAGTTCAGCGGTATAAAGTAGATGTTAGACAAGGAAAGATTTATCGGACCTCTCTATATTTCAATGCGGCCACGTTGGTAGCATTGCAGAGAGAGATGGAAGAGGAGAGAACATTCACCTTTTTCTCACTACAACACCAGATGAATAGCAAGCTCAGTTGGGGTGAGGGGGGAAGAAATTGTCTCAATAGTTCTTAAGACAACTCACATCAGACTGAGATAAATAAAACATGTGATACAACTGAGCTTTTGAGCTGCACTGAGAATCTCTGTTAATCTCAGTCAAAGTTGGCAAAAAGAATATTACTATTCTCTCGTTCTAGATAGAAAAGAGCTCAATTGGCAAGGTGATCGACCGTTGGGGGCGCTGTTTCAAAACAAGATGGCGGCAAAGAGTGTGTAGTTTGTTTACAAAATTTCTTGAGATTTGCATACATTTTCTTCTTGATATTTCATCGTGTTAATTTGTGTTAATTGTTGAACTTTTTACTGAAATCATAATATTTTTTGTTGGATCATACTGTTTCATCATGATGTGAGGAAAATAACTGATACCTACTGACTGAATCGTGGACCAAATAGTCTGAGCTTTCTTCAAACCAGTGCATTTTTGTGGGACAGCTTTATGGGATATCAAAAACCCCAAGCATATCCACTATCATCAGAAGCTGATATATTCACCATCATACCTCTATAACTCCACTCTTCAAGCAAAAGGATCCTACAGACCACAAATGGTGATACCAGGAGTGAAGTTTTTCAACAGTGAACAGCCTTGTGTGAACATATTGAAAACCATCCCCAAACAATCTGTTAACCTATTCGACTATTTTGTGCTAAATATTATAGCCATCAGAATCATGTGCAATTGATCCATACAATAGAAATCAGCAGCAACCAGCTCTTATGAGTCTAAACCAAGAAATAATTCAACACCAAAGGCATCCTGACATTACTGTGGATTTAATAGTAGATACAACTATCAATGGCCAAGAGGTGAAACAATCTGCTGTTGAATGGGAGTACTGGTGTACACTACTGAGAGTAATTGTTGGTCATAGACATATGATTATTGGGGGTGTATACAGATCTCCTAATGGATGTCAGTCACTTTTCCTGGATTTTTTCCAGGAGTTACTTGAACTTGAAGAACTGTGCACCAATGATTTTATCATAATGGGGGATTTTAATTTTGATTTATTGACTAGAGGCACAGGTGCAACTAGACTTATAGACATAATTCATTTGGCAGGGTGTAAACAAATTGTTAAAAAACCAACAAGGGTAACCAATCACTCTGAAACACTAATTGACTTGATTATCACGAATAACAATATTCAAGAAGTTGAACGTAACTTTCCAAAATTTACGGATCATGATATTATTGGTATGGTCATTAACATTCCTTCGAGAAAATCACCAAAAATAATCTACTCGAGACATATTACTCCAGAAAAAATTGAGGATATTAAAATAGATTTAATTCAAAAAAACTGGGACTATACGACAACTAATGCGGAAATCCTGTATCAAACCTTCGTGAATAATATAAAAACCAGCTTAGATAAAATCGCACCTATACAAAATAAACAATACTTTGAGAGCAACGGTTGGATAGATGAGGAAGTCAGAAATATGCAAAAAGAAAGGGATAAATACTACAAGAGATTTCAATATACAAAGGACCCGGTAGATTTTGAGAGATACAGACAGAAAAGGAACGAAGTTGTATGTATGATTAGAAGAAAGGAAAAGAATTTTTATGAAAAAAAGGTTGATCAGTGCTGTAATGACAGTAAAAAAATGTGGTCTACTTTGAAACAATTAGTTAACTGCACTAATAATAACACAGACATTAGCTCATTAGATATTAGTTCGAATGATACTAGTGAAGTACTAAATAGGTTTTACCTCGATAGTATAGAGGAAATTGCTAAAAGTATTCCGAGCATTGACGGTTTTTCTGAAAAAAAAATAGATATAGATGGCAACATAGATCCGTTTCCCACCATTACTATAAATAAACTATATAAAGTGGTGAATTGTTTGAAAAACAAAGCTACTGGTGATGAAGTACTCACAGTATCGTCGATAAAAAATATATTTTCAGTTATTGGGTATCCCTTATTGAACTTAATTAATACCTGCCTGCAAACAGGAGTATTGCCATCGGTATTGAAATGCAGCACCATAATACCAGTTCCAAAAATTAGTAAACCAGTTAAACCTGAAGATCTACGACCAATAAATTTACTTCCAGTCATTGAAAAAATCATTGAAATCTTAGTACATGAACACTTGAGTGACTATTTGAATAAACAAAATATACTGTATGTAAATCAATCGGGATTTAGGTGCAATCATTCAACAGAGTCCGCATGTCAGTTAGTATGCAATATGTGGAAAAAGGATATAGATGATGGAAACATCGTTATTAGTGTATTTATAGATCTGAAGAGAGCGTTTGAAACAATAGATAGGCAAAAATTATTATATAAATGTAAAAATTACGGAATAACAGGAGTTGTATTGAAGTGGTTGGAAAACTATCTCAACGACAGATGTCAAAAAACCAAGATCAATGGTGATTATAGTGTTGAAATTGGTACTTTGTATGGTGTTCCGCAAGGAAGCGTCCTGGGGCCATTGCTATTCATTTTATATATCAATGATATAAATCTGTATTTACAACAGTCATTCGTTAACCTCTTTGCGGACGACACATTGATTTCTGTATCTGGAAAAAACTTTGAAGAAATAGTTCAAGTGATGAATAATGAATTGTGCATTTTAAATGAATGGCTAATGGCAAATAAACTCAAATTGAATAATATGAAAACTAAATGTTTGATCCTAGGTAGTAAGAGTAATGTGGCTAAATTTGATCAATGTAACCTTGTTATTGAAATAGATAATACTATAATTAGTTATGTAAATGAAATAAAATATCTTGGTATCATTTTTGACCCTCAACTGAATTTTTCCAAACATATTGATTATCTATGTAAAAAAATTGGCAAAAAAGTCGGGTATTTCTATAGAGTTTGTAGAAACCTTTCCTTATGGTGCAGAAAAATTGTGTACAATACAATTATATTTCCACATTTCAATTATTGTATGTCAATACTTATTTCTTGTTCAGATGTACATATTCATCGGCTGCAATTACTCCAAAACAAAGCAATGAGAGTCATTCTGAAATGCAATAGATATACTCCGATAATCTCTATGTTAGAAACTCTGAATTTCTTGAATGTTCGTCAACTTATTACCGAGTCATACTTAGTGTTATTATATAAGATTGTAAATAAGCAAGCTCCTGTATATTTAAGAGATTATCTTGTTAAAAGATCTGAGTTGGTAGAATATAATCTGAGATCTGCGGATCATTACCAAATACAAAAGTTCAAGACTAGTGCTATGGAGAAAACACTATTTATCGATGGTTTGAAGGTGTATAATGGCTTACCAATAATAGTAAAAACATCACCAAATGTCAAATTATTCAGAACTAGATTAAGGCAAATGTACTTCAATAATCAATAACATTGTATGTTCTTAAAATAGTATTTATTGTAAATTATATGTTATGTAATAGCTAATGAGCTAAATAAACATCTATTCTATTCTACTTCCAGGCTTTGAGGATTGTTTACAGTGCAACTCCCATACCTCATATATTATGGTGATCCACTGCAATAACAGCAAATTGTCATGATCCTATGTGCCATGTGTGTAAATTGTATCCATATAACACACTTTTCATAATGTGAATATTCCTAATATACTTAGAGTTGAGGTAGGTGGCATCCTAGACTGAGTTTTCTTCTTGGAATTCTTTTAATATCTTGTAAAGCTAGTTTTCTTTACCATATTGATGAAATCATTGAATAATTTGGAATTCCACCACATAAAACATTGATCAAATGACCTAGGATTTCAGTTAATGTATTTACACAGTATATTATCATAAATTTTGTGATTTGATTTTGTAATCCTAAATTCATCTAATTAAAAATATCTATCTTTATCAATTTGTATAGTTCATTATGTTTTGTATATTTTGGAACTGAATTAATAATAATTTTCAGAAATGAAAGTACATTGACATAACATGTGTTTTACTGTACTTATGCCACTTCAAAGAAATCAAGAAAGAAGTACCTACAAATAGAAGGATCTTCCAGTATACTCCTTCCCTCAGTGCTCATGTATACTGTTTTTCCCTGAATCATTTTACAAGATACCTTCATAAAAATTTACAATTATAAATGAATTTGAAATCCAGGACTACCAGGACTTTCATATTTGTAGAAATAAATTAACAATGAGCAAAAGTAAGTATCTACCTGGTAGGTACCTATTTTAAAAGGAATCAGTAAAGATTATAAAGTGAAACTTTC